CGCCTCTCCGAGTCCCAGCAACCGCTGCAAACCTCGGAGAGAAAGCTGCACTCGCTCTGACTGAGGCCAGACAGTCCCTCTTCTCCCGTTTGAGTCTCGGTCCCTAGCGACTCGCCCAGATCTGAAGCTCAGAGTCTGCGACTCCCTCCCGATTGAAAACAACAACCGCGCCCTCCTCCAGCCCGCTCCGTGCACTCCGCACCTCAGAATTTGCCTTCAGCACTGCGCCTCCTCTGAGTGTCCGAATGCGTTACTCTTTCCTCCTAGTTGTAGGACTTCCACTCAGCCACCGTTCCTGTGGTTCTGGATGATCAAAAGTTTGTAATTTTTGAAGGAAAAAAGAACTTTGAAAACAAGTAACACTGATAAACATCACATTTGTCCATGTCTTGATTCCTTTATCATCTCAGATTGCCTCGTGTGGTCAAATACAACAGACCTCTTCCTCCCTGTTTACACATCTTATCCTTCACCTCTCCTGCCATCTTACTGCATCTCCCTTATTCCCACAGTGTGAAACTATACTAAATAATTCATGTGTGTGTTTAAATATGTTTTTGTTGATTTTTTTTTTTAGAGAAAGAGAGAAAGGAAAGGAGAAGAGAAATATTGATCGGTTCCTCCTGCATGCACCCCAACCAGGGATCAAAGCCACAACCTGTGCATGTGCCCTGATTGGGAATTGAACCCATGACCTTCCAGTCACGGGACAATGCTCAACCACTGAGCAACACCATCAAGGCTCACTTAGACTCTTTTCATGTTCTCCTTCCTGGGGACTGACTAAAAGCATGGTCAGCTAGCTGGATTTCCAAATCTGTCAGTTTAGACAGATTGGGAGTAAAAAAAACAAGGCATAAGTTCAAAAAAAGTTAGAATAATTTTTCTGACAAAAAGACCTGAGATAGCAAAAATATAAGCACTTGGTGGCATTAGGATGTGGGTCAGAAGGAGAGAGAGCAAAAGTTATGTGAACATGTGCAGATAACACTGGGGCCAGACTAGGGATCCACTAGTGAACTCTCCCTCCCCACCAACATTGAAAATAGGCAAGAACAGACTCATTTTGCTGCTTCTGCTCATAACTGCTTTCATGAGGCTGTGCTCCCATGATACACATGTAGTGCACACATGCAATACAGAACACAATGACTGCTGTGTAGTGAGCAACTGGGCTAATTAATTCAAGTGTTTAGTATGTACCAATATTAGCATATTAAAGTGGTCATGCTAACTCCTAACACACAAGTAGTTGTGAAGTTAAATAGCATCATATAGATGGTATTTGGTAAGGTGATTGTCAAGAAATAGATGCTCATTAAATGGCTATAATTAACATTCACAATATCTACTCCTGAATGGATGGTGATTCTGGGGGGAGGGAGGCAGGGTCTAAGTCAAAAGAAACTTGAAACAATTTTTATTCAATCACTTAATAGCATCACTTTATCTACTTCAAAACTTCAGCTCTATTGTGCCATTTGTTGAACCTTCTAAGAAAAAAAATTCTGCCTTATAAACCACTTAAGTGTTGTTTTGCTTTTTAACAAACACTTTTTTCCTCAGACTTCGCATTCACAAATTCTAAATTAAGATCCAAATCAAGGAGAGTTTACTGCATTCAGTAAAGTAGCACAAATAATAAAGTCCGTTTTTAAGGCAGTACTTGCCCTTCTGTTTTCTACTGAACCTCAGTGATGGCAGCTGAGAATGTACTCATTAGTCTCAGACAGGCTGAGTGAGCTCACTGCGCCAGGGAATGTGTAGGTAGCAGCCCAGAAACATAACTGACAGTCGCTGCTAAAAGAGGTGCAGGACTAGCGACAGACATTTAGGAAAACAGAATTCACATGAATAATAATTTGACACCAAAGAGCCAAAACATAATTTGTCACGACTGTGATATACTGCACGTGTATGCGGGGCCCTGGAGGCAGCGTGGAGCCCCGAACCCACCAGGGCCTAAGCGGTTAAAATGGAGGTGGGCTCCATTTTGCCAGCTCACAGCAGCGCAGGAGTGGGAGACGTGGGGCCCTAGGACACAGGGTGCAGGGACACGGGGCACAGGGACATAGAGGCATGGGGCACAGGGCACAGGGCATGGGGCACAGGGACATAGAGACACGGAGCACAAGGACATGGGACACAGGAACATGTGGACACGGGGCACAGGTACATAGAGACATGGGGCACAGAGGCACAGGGACACCGGGCACAAGGGACACAGGACACAGGACAGCTCTGGCAAAGTGAGAGAGAAGGACCCAAGCACACCTGCGTCAGGGAGGTGCCGAATGGGTGAAAAGAGGAGCAGATGCTGCGGGCCCACTGGGCAGGCCAGGCGGGCTCCTGGGGACGTGAGGGGCTGAGGGGTCTGTGCTGGTGGTGCCTTTGGTCCCCCTCAGTCCCGCCCCCGCTCTGGTCCCCACGGAAACTGGTTGGGCCTGGGGGCGGGCGGGGCTCACCTCGCCTCTGGAAAGTCGTGCGGGCCTCAATCTGGTAGTTGTGTCTGCACACGGTGTCCACATAGGCCCGATGCTCCTCCAGGATGTCCTTCTGGCCATTCCAGTACTTGGCGTCAGGCGGCCCAAGCGCGGTCAGCGCGCGGAACTCCCCCACGTCGCTATCTAACCGCACGTACTCCTCCAGGTTATAGATGTAGCTCTCCATGAGCCGCACGCGCTGTGTCCCGTTGGTGAAGTAGCACAGAAACTTAATCTGGTACACGAAGTCCCCTGTGTGGAGCCGCCCATCAGGCCTTGGCTGCTGGCCAGGACCTGGGACCTTCCTCAGGGACAGACCTGCAGCCCAGCTGAACCTGG